CTATGATCCAGCTTCCTCCTGGGCTAGACTGGGGATCGAAGCTAAGCTTATGGCCCATGATGCTTTTCACTCAGCTGCACTTCATTTTTATTCCTTGAGAGATAATTGAAGCAGCAGCAGGAGCACTAATGCCAGTTTACCTAGGTTCAAATCCCAGCTCCATGAGTTACTAGCTGTGTAATCTTAGGTAAGTTCTTTGACTGTGCCTCACTTCTGTCATCTGTAAAATGGAGATAATGATATTATCAACTTCATGGGTGGAAGAATGAAATAAGTTATTGTGTGTGGTTTGTTTGGAGTACTGCACAGAACACAGGGTAAGTGCTACATAAGTGCTAGCTAGGGTGACGATGATGGGATGGTGATACTGAGGGCCTTGGCCATTACACCACTAGTCCCTTCCCCAACCCTTGCCATGAATGTTCTTTTAGGCATTTCTTTTTGGCCCCAACTCAAACAAAGCTATGGTTCCCTTGAGCACCAGCCTGTCTTCAGCTCGTGGACACTGGAAGGTAAGGTCTTTCCCGTGCTGTTCTTGTGATAGCGAGCAAGTCTCATGAGATCTGATAGTTAGTGTAAGGAGTTTTCCTGCACAAGTTCTCTTTTCTTGCTGCCATCCACGAAAGACGTGACTTGCTCCTCCTTGCCTTCTGCCATGATTGTGAGGCTTCCCAGCCACGTGGAACTGTAAGTCCAGTTAAATCTTTTTATTTTAAAAATAGCCCAGTCTCAAGTATGTCTTTATCAGCAGCACGAAAATGGACTAATACAGACCTGGAGACTCGTGCTTCTATCTTTGTTTTAGATACTAAAATGAGCATTTCAGGCAAAATCACACATTTGTAGAGGGCTTTCTGTGGTAGGTCCTGTATCCACATTGCTCCGAATTAAAATCCTTGAAGCCATCCTTGATTCCTCTCTTTCTTTCATGCTCAACAACAAATCTCGGTGTTTCTATCTTCAAAGTGTATCCTGGTCCTGACCACTTTTCACCAGCTTTACACTATATACTCCTTTCTTCAGGACTAATGGTCAGATGCTTAGTTAGGTCCCTTATTCTGCCCTGGCCTCAGCATCTATCATTCATATAACAACCAGTGTGGCCTTAGGACGTCTTTGCTTTCAGCCCTCCAATCACCTTGAGAAAAAAACCCCTGAAGTCCTCACAATAGTTTACAAGGCTCACTGTGATTTGACTGTGCACCTCATCTGTATTACTCAGTTTTCAGGTTGCTGATGCAGACATACCCGAGACTGGGCAATTTACAAAGAAAGGGGTTTAATTGGACTTACAGTTCCGCATGGATGGGGAAGCCTCACAATCATGGTGAAAGGCAAGGAGAAGCGAGTCACCTCTTACACAGATGGCAGCAGGCAAAGAGAGAGCTTGTGCTGGGGAACTGCTCTTTTTGAAACCATCAGATCTCACGAGACTTATTCACTATCATGGGATCAGAAAAGAGGTGCCTCCATGATTCAGTTACCTCCCACTGGGTCCCTCCCACAACACGTGGGGATTCAAGATGAGATTTTGGTGGAGACACAGCCAAACGATACCATCATCTCTCAGGCCATCCTTGCTCACAGCATGCCCACTGTTCCAGCCATGTCAGCCTCCTTGCTGCCCCTCTAATACACTGCTGGCCAGGGCTTTCCCCTTGCTGGGCCTTCTCCCCTCACCTGAAATATTGGCATGACATCCCCCACTCCCTGTCTTCATTCAGTCCTTTGCTTAAATGTAACCACATTTAAATACCTTCCTTGACTATCTTTTCTAAAAGAGCAACTATTCTCCCACCCTGGCATTCCATAGCCACCTTCTTTTGCTTTATTTTTTCTCCTCAGAACTTACTGCAATCTTTCATAAATTTATTTTGCCTTTCCCCACTAGAATGAAAGCTCCTTTGGGCCAAGAACTTTGTCTGTCCTGGTTACTCCAGTGCTTAGAAAGGTGCTCAGCACATAGTAGGGGCTTGATAAAGAGTCATTAAAGAAATAAGAGAATGAGTGGAATCTTCATTTTATTAGTTTATCCTAATCTGCTTTCACAAAGGCTTGGAAGAAGTATATACAAATATACATGTTGGCTGGGTGCAGTGGCTCTCGCCTGTAATCCCAGCACTTTGGGAGGCCAAGAGGGGTGGATTGTCTGAGGTCAGGAGTTCAAGAGCAGCCTGGCAAATGTGGCAGAACCCTGTCTGTACTAAAAGTACAAAAAATTACCCAGGCATGGTGGTGCGTGTCTGTAATCCCAGCTACTTGGGTGGTTGAGGCAGGAGAATTGCTTGAACCTGGGAGGTGGAGGTTGCAGTGAGCCAAGATCATGTCATTGCACTCCAGTCTGGGCAACAGAGTGAGGCTCTGTCTCAAAAACAAAAACTAAGCCATATGTTAAACCAGGGCAAAAATAAATTTAGAGATTAAGGTAGAGAATGAAGAATGTTTCTGAAGATTATGTGGAGGATAGAGACATGGCTGTCAGCAGGGAGGTCTATGTTCTATCATTGTTTGGTATCTTTTAGTAACCTGCCCGCTCTTCTCTTATCCCCCCTCCTGACCCCCATCCCATCCCCTGCCTTCACAGGTGTCTGTAGATAAATGAGAATTTGTTGTGCGAAGAAAGAGGCCCCTGAGGTGGGGATAAGCATTTTTAATCACTTTCCTTCCTTTCCCCTATTTGAGAATTCTAAGAGCTGCATATATATGCTTACTTCCTTAGAAGAATAGTATTAACTGGCAGGGGTAGAGATGCCCCCCAACCAGCAATGTTGTTAAAGACTTTTCTCTTTGGAAAGGTGCTCTGGGGCCTACATCTTGAGTCTATTGTGGCAATAAGCTTGAGGATGCGGTTTGCTGTTTAGTCTCAGTGGTGATGGCCTTTCTCCCTGCTTTCAGTGCTGCCCACATGCAGCTAGCTGTATGAGACAAAGTTCCTGCTCCAGCTGTTTGCCAGTGCTTGGACAATAATCAGGACACAATCTGTTGTTCTCTTTCCCTGTCCCAGACACGTGTGCCTATGTTATGGCTGGACTCTCCTCTCCATAGAAGACTTGCCATTCTCGAACCTGGCCTGGGCCCTTTGGAAAGCTAGAGGGAGTCACTTCAAGCACCCTATGCATGGGAGAGCAGAAAATCTGATGCAGACCATTTTGCTGTTTGTGATAGGAAAACAGAAAACACAAAACTAGTCAAGTGAATCAATTCTGAGACAGACAATAGAGACCCTGGACTGAGTTATTCTGGAGACACAACTTTTTCCTTGGAGCTTTTAGAAGAAGCAATTTGAAGATTTTCTTGGATGACTTTGTCTCTCTGGGGGCAATTAGAGAAGGCATTCAACTTTCCAGAACCTTCTGCAAAGTAGCCTTCGTATCTGAAGGCGGGTGCCTTCCCAATGGCTAGGCTTAGTGATGCCTTCAGGGACCTAGTGTGTGGATCTGCGGCTCCAACATGTGAGGAGGGAAAATGCTTTCATAAGTAGAACCTGCCATCAGTGGCTGTACTCTGGCCCTCTGCTTCTATATGCCTCCCACACAAATATAATTTCTCCATCAATATCATTCAGTCTACCAGCTTTGTGTTCAGGACTCATTTTCCTGAGCCCATTCCCACCTTCCCCACAACCTTGCCACTAAATCATTATATTCAGGAAAAGAAGAACCCAGTGGAAAAAAAGGCCTGCTTTTTTGTTTGTGTGTGTGTGTGTTTTAGACAGGGTCTCTGTCATCCAGGTTGGAATGCAGTAGCACCATCAGGGGTCACTGCAGCCTCTGCCTCCCTGGGCTCAGGCGATCCTCCCTCCTCAGCCTACTGGGTAGCTGGGACCACAGGTGCGCATCACTGTGCTGGCTAATTTTTGTGTTTTTTTGTAGAGATGAGGTTTCACCATGTTGTCCACACTGGTCTCGAACTCCTGAGCTCAAGTGATCCACATGCCTCGGCCTCCCAAAGTGCTGGGATTACAGACATGAGCCATAGTGCCTGGCCGAGATCTGGTCTGAACAACATAGGGTAACTTGTGAACTGAGGAAATGTCAGTAAAAGCATTTTAGGAACTACCTCTTGTAATTACCCACATTCTAAAAATTTAAAACAAAAACCGCTACTAGCTGTTGCTGTTAGCTGATTGTAAGACAACAGACAAACACACTGCAGCCAGAAAAATCCCCACTGAGTTTGGGCAGCTGATTTCTCTGGCATCAAATGAAAGCTTTAGCTATTGCCCCTGAGGCCTGGCTGAGCAAGCCCTACACCCGAGCCCTCCCTCTCTGGGCCTCCCCCACCACTGTGGGCCACAGAGGGTGTTAAGTGTGTGTGTGTGTGTGTGTGTGTATGCTGGGGGATGGGGGCTGAGGATAATGCAAGCACCCTAACTCACAATATTAGGCAGCTACACACCCCACTCAGGACACCACACCAGCATAATTCATCCCACACCTCACAGCCAGGGTGAATCCAGACTCAACGAAAAACAATTTGGACGCATTGTTTACAAATTAATTTCCCCCTCTAAATAGGCTGTTATAAGAGTGGACCCTTCTGCTTGCCTAGCCTAGGCCCACCTGTCACTGCGACTTCCTAACCAGTGGTCACACTATATTGATCTTTTTAATCCCCTCTCTTTGAAACACAGAGCCAGCTGATGTGGAGCTCCTCAAAAGAAAGACTCTCCCACTGCCTCTACCTCAACAGGTAGCTGCGGATTCGGAGCTAATTCTCTACTAAAAAGTCTTAATTGGCTTATGGGGAGCCTGAAAGATCTCCCTTGTGCTTACAAGGTGAAAGGAAATGATGGATCCCAAATGCCCTAGTCTGTCTTTATCCGTTTCTTGGTGGAAATCAGGTGCATTTTATTTTTTAATTGTTTTTGAAACAGGACTGGAGGCTTTGGAGGTGAGTGGGGATAGTGTTTCACTTTAGTGGTTGAGCCACCAGGGAAAAGCAAGAAAAGCCCCAGAGACACCAATATTAGGCAAGAAACTTGGTGACTTATTTTTTTCTTAGTTTTTATTTACATGAAGCATCTGCAGTACAAACGTAAACTTTGACAGCTCATAATAGAATAAACTCTTTATGTACAAAAATACATTTTCATATGAATGAAGCATCTTGAATAAATTAAAGTACACTCCAGCCCGGTGCCTGAATAGCTAAGCAAGAGTCTCCAGTTCTTCCTAGAGCGAGCCTGCAGTGGTGGGGGTCGGGATCCATAATGCATGAAGCCCACTCCTTGTCTCTCCTTTTTAAGCCTTTTCATTGTATTGCCAGCCGGCTCAAACCGAATTTTCATGCTCGTTTTTCTTCATTAGAGTTCTACAAATTGTAAAATTGACTTTTCACCTCGTCTTCAGGGGCTGATCTGTCCCTTTTCTAAATCACACTGAAGTGGTGGCTGGGGTCAGTTCTGAGCCAGCCACAAAGGAGGTTTTGTGGAGTTCAGAAAGTGCAAAAGGAAAGGCCGTCTAGGGACGGGCAGGAGGGGCCCGGGGCTGAGGGCTGGAGAAACAGACCAAGAGGCAGCCGCAGCGAGGGTGCAGCGACCTAACAAGCGGCTCAGGTATCCCCGACCCCTTTAAAGCTCCCGCTTCCTCCCTCCTCCTGGAGAGTGGGTCCCGAGGAGGCGGCAGCTGGGGCCCCATCTATTGCCTGCTGACTAGGGGAGGGGGAAGGTAACGGTGCCTACAAAGGGCCTAGTGGTAAGGGATGAAACAAGGCGTCGTGTGGAGCAAGTCTTTGGGCAGGCCTGGGAAGGAGAAAACGGGGTCGCCGGAGCCGTAGGTGAAGTCTTCGGAGGCGGCGGGGCTGCTGGGGTCAGAGAGTGGAGAGGCGGCGGCGGCGCTGGGAGAGGCGGCGGCACCTGAGCCCCAGGACTCCACGTCGCTGGCGGGGCTTGGGGGTCCGGGCAGGCAGGGGACGCACTGCGGTGGCAGGAGGCGCTCCCGGGCACCGCTTCCGGGGAGCCCTTGATCCGCCAGGCGCAGTGTCTCGGCCAGAGCCCAGATGTAGTTGTAAGCGAAGCGCAGCGTCTCGATCTTGGTGAGCTTGGTGTCGTCGGGGAACGAGGGCAGCACGCTGCGCAGTGCGTCCAGCGCAGCGTTCAAGTTGTGCATGCGGTTGCGCTCGCGATCGTTGGCTTTGACGCGCCGGCTCCTGCGCAGCGAGTGCAGCAGCGCCTCTGAGCGCACCCGCGCCCGGCCGCGGCGCCGCCGCCGCTCCTGCTCCTCGTCCTGTGCCCCTGGAACCTCTGACGCTCGGGAGGTACTGGGCGCGCCCCTGCGGACCGGCGCTGGCGGCCCCGAGGCAGAGGCTGGCAGTTGGAGCCTGGCACAGTCTTCCTCGTCGGTAAGGAAGCCGGACAGATCACTGCTGCTGCTGCTGCTGCTGGCGCAGTCGAGGTCGGAGATGCAGGTCTCCAGAGGGGCTGGCATCGTTGCGCTGTGCAGGACCGACGGAAGGATAGAAAGGCGCTCAGAGCGCGGCAGCCCGGACTGGGGGCAGGGCCGCCAGGGCGCACTTACGTTCCCAACGGCCTGGGGTTGTTACTCTGTGCCAGCAGCGGGCGCGAGAGCCTGGAAGGGCTCAGGGACGCACGGGGAACTTGGCCTCGCCTGCAGGGGCCACGCGCCCGGCCGGTCTCCCGAGTGATGTCGCCGGCGATCAGATCAGCTCGTGTGAGCACCGAGTGTGGCACACGACCGGCCTCAGGACCCCTTAAGTACCCGGCGTAACAATGGGCGCCCCCCTTCCTTGCCACCTCCGCCCCCGCGGCAGCCCGGGTGAATGGAACAAGGCGGCAGGTCATCCCCGTGCGGCGCCCGGGTATTTGCATAATTTATGCTCGCAGGAGGCCGCCCCCGCCCCTCCCCCCACCCGGAGTGTGCCCGTAATTACCGCCGGCCAATCGGCGGCGTCGCGCGGCCCCGGGAGTCGGCTCGGGCTAAGCTGGCCAGGGCGTCTCCAGGCAGTGAAACGGAGGCGGGGGCTGCGGACGATTAGCGGCAGAGGCACGCTCCTCTCGGGGCGGGCTAGGCGCCCCTCGCTGGGGTGGGATGGGGAGGCGGGGCGCGAGTGCGAAAGTGTGAGCCGCCCAGTGAGTACTGGAAACCTGGAGGGGACTTGGAGTCTGGGTTCGCATCCCCTCTCCAGCTGCTGAATGTTGGGGTGACTTTGGACTAGTAATTTAACTTCTCTGAGCCTCGCTTTCCCCATCTGTAAAATTAGACGCAAGTTTACCTGTAGAGGGTGATCAGAGATCATGTTCGTGGGACACTAAATAGGCAGCACCTGCTGAACAGGGCGCAAATCATTTTCAAATAGACTGGAGAGAGGCCATGCCAGAGCCAAGGGAGCAGGGCAAGGATAAGTGTCGCTGCTGTGTCCAGGTTGATGAAGAAACGGGAAAGAATCTTTTGACCTTCATCTGGGGAGTGCAGAGAGGAGAGTGGAAAAGAGAATCGGGTGACTTCCCAGGTTGCCTTGAGTCTTGGTTTCACCCTTCCCTTCTCTCCCCTTCCCTTCTCCACTCTCCTCCACACCTCTGCCCCCAACAGTCACCCCAAGATTCTTAAGGTAACAGAAGTGTAAGACTCTTTTTCTCCCGTGTTCCTGAGACCTTGCCCGCCCCATGGCCTGAGAATTCCATTGCTCACCGTCTCTCAGAGCCCTGCTTGCAGCCTCTGTGGCCCTTTTCAGGGCAAGCCAGCCAGGGGATCCAGCTTCTCTGGAGGGAGAGAGAGCTAGCCTGTGGCGGGCAGGTGCACAGTGGAACCCCTTTTCTCCAAACGTCTTCCCGCCTTTGGTGTCTTAACCTGGCCTATTCCAGCAGGTCTTCCCTCTGCATGTCAGGAGTCACTTTTCTCTGGTGGCCTACACTCACCCAGGAGCAACAGAGGCCCAGACATTGCCCAACTTTGTACTTGGGAGATAATAGTAAGGAACAGCACTGGAAAATGAGCAGCTTTCAGCAAAGTGCCAGCCCCCTCCCCTGATCTCCAGGTGGTAGCCTTAGGCAGGAAGCCTGGCCTGCTGCCCTGGGAGCCTAGCTGACTCTGTGTGGGGGGCATTGGCTTCTTTGTGGAAGGGGGCTGTGGAGAGGCAATGCCCACCTTGGCTCACTGACCAACGCTTGCCTTCTGGCTCAGGGGACTCTCCCCAGCCGTCCCCTTCCCCCACTGTACCCTGCAAGCACCCCTGACCTAGGCAGAAGGCTAGGACACAGTCATATATAAGGGCTTGAGATTTATTAGAAGTCACAGAAAGTGGCTTCAACCAGCTCACTCAAGAAAGGGCAGTTGTTGGATGAATACCGGGGCATCTCAAGAACCCAAGGGCTTCAAGGGCTTGTGTGAACCAGCAGGAGCACAGGGGTCCTCTCTCTGCCCCCAGCCTCTACTTCTCTGCCTGCATCAGCTTCCTTTCTTTGGACTGCCACAACAAAATTCCACAAACTGGGTGATTTAAGACAACAGAAGTTCATTCTCTTACAGTTCAAGAGGCCAGAAATCTGTAATTAAGGTGTTGGCAGGGATGGCTCCTTTTTGGAGGCTCTGAGGGAAAGTCTGTTCCTTGCCTCTCTCCCAGCTTCTGGTGGTGGCTTCTGGCCATCTTGGCTGTTCATTCATTGATTGGCAGCTGCATCCCTCCAATTTCTGCCTCCTTTCTTCATGTGGCCTTCCCCTCTGTGTTTCTTTTCCTTCTTGTCTCTTATAGGGACATTTGTCATTTGATTTAGGGCCCAGCTAATCCAGGATGATTTAATCTTGCAACCCTTGCCTTAATTATATCTGCAAATAAGGTCACATTCTGAGGTTCTGGGAGGACATATCTAATGGAAATAGAATCCACTATTTCAACTCACTACAACAAACGCTTTTCCAAATTCCTGGAGGAGAGAATTGGTTTGGCCAGTGTTACTTTTTTGGCTGACAGGTACCTGAAGAGCTTTCCTGTTGAGAAATTTGAATGCATAAGAACCCTTTCCCCATTCCTAGCAATTAGGGTGTGGCCACATGATTTTAGTACAGGCAATTGGCTGCCCCACTTGGAATTTAGGCTCAGAGCTGATGACAGTCCAGAGTTCACCTGTGTCATGGCAACAACCCAGAAGAGCCAGTGACCAGTGGTGAAGGAGGTGGCCAGGAACCAGTGGATGTCTTGACTGAACTCTTCCCAGGGCCTGCGCTGGTTCTGCCTGCTTTCTGAGCCTGGTTCTCCAGCCCTCCATTCTTTAGTGGGGCTTTTCTGCTTCAGATGGCCAGGATTAGTGTCTGTGGTTTCATAAATAAAACACCAAGTGAAATCCTCAAGTCGCTGAAGGATTGGCTATGTTGATTGCCTGTGCTGGGCCAGACACTGTGCTGGACATGGGGGTAACAGGGGTGATAAACCTGGCTGATGAGGATCATGGGCTCTGAGTCTTGTAAGCCAGGATTCAGTGCCAGCAGAACCTTTGGAGATTATTCATCTTTCCACTGCACCTCATACATGGGAAACTGAGGTGGGAGATGGGGAGGTCTTTTTATCGGGTTACCTCAGGGATCACTGGTGGTCGAATTAGGCCAGACTCAGGAGTCCTTTCAGCCCCTACTCCATGTTCCTCCATCACAATCATCAACAAATACACACTGACAGCCTACTGCATGCCACCCTGTGCCAGGGGCTCTGCAGAGTGTGAAGCAGGAAGATAGTCCTCAAGGAGAGGAGATGTGGCATTAGGACTAGAGAGGTGCCGAGGGCCTATTACGGGAGCAGATCTGAAGAGTGTTGTGCACCTCCCAAAGGGCAGGCTTCTTGGCAGAGGGGGACTTGCAAAAGCCTTGAAGGCTGGATGGCATGTGAACAGACAATCCAGGTGAAAGACAGGGCTGGGGGTTACTGTAGTAGCTGTATGGGGGCTGGTCTGGAGGATAGGGTTTCTGGGTGGACCCAGTGAAAAGAGGGTAAGGGGGCAGTTGTGGTGGCCCTTGAATAGGCATGGTGGCCTTCCTTGTTCCATCCCTTCTCCTCCACCTCTTGCTGCTCTCTCTGAGCAGGGCTGTTAAAGTTCTTCCAGTCATTCACTGTACAAGGACATCTGCTAGAGGGACAAGTAAGTGCTGGAATCCAGCCTCTCTACCACCCACCAAACCATGCACCCTGACTTGGCCTACACCTGCCCAGAGAGGACACCATGTCAGTATGTCCAGAGGCACCTTGTTAGCTAGCAGTGGGTCTGTGCCTTCTCCTTCCATGCTCCCTTCCTTTTCTTGAACCTTAGAGAGCTGAGCAGGCAAGCATCCAAGCCTTGCCCTGCCTGCTCCTGGCTCTTGGGCAGGGCATGTCATGGTTCCTTCTTGGCTGTTAGTGCCTACCTCTTGTGCTTTTTTATAAGTGCATCTGCAGGGGGCCCTCCTATAAGTGATCTACTGAGGATAGGACTGAGCCCTGGAACAATGAGAATGAAGGGGCAGCTTGAGAGGCCCAGAGCCTCTCCTCAAGAGAAAAAGGCCAGGCCACATTTAGAAGGATGTGCATGCTTGCCAGGGAAGATGAAAGTTTCTCCTGCTCCTCGAAGCCTTCCAAGCCTAGTACATGAGCGTATCTGTGGAAACGGTCATTCTCAGAAGGTTATAGAATAGAAGGTTATGTGGGCATGTAATAAATCCAGCCACAGCAGGTGCCACCATAGTGAGCACCGCACCAGGTTTTCTGCCTGATGTGTGAAACATCCAGCTGCCAATCTGCTGGGGAGCAGGGGAGGGTAGGCCGGGCATACCCCTGGAATCAGAATCTCTGGAGCACTTGCTGAAGTCATATTGACTGATATCTAGAGCCAATTCGTTGACACTAGAATTGATATTTTGCATTAGCAACCACCCTCCTCTCCTGTGCTTGCCTCAACCCTTGAAGTGGGTCAGGTACATTTATATGACCACCAAGAGGTACTCCAAGGGCACAGCTGTTCCAGGCAGCCCCAGGGATCTGACTCAGGACCCCAGTGGGACAAGCAGGGAGGTGATTTTACTTCATCGGGAAGACCTTTCTGGCATCAACACACTGATGAAGAAACAGCTTTCTTGAGAGATGAGAGGAGGGATTCTCAGGGGAGCAAGGTGTTGGATGCTTCCAGGGGCTTGAGAGACTTGGTTTATTATTATTATTTTAAATAAATAAAGGCCAAAATAGGGGAGAAATGGTGGTAAATTATAAAAGTTTACATATAATAAATCAATGTGGTTAACAAATAAAAATACAAAGGAGTCTGTGCCGTTCACAAGGCAGTTTCAGGATTTTAAAGTGACCATCAAAATTATAGAGCCTATAGTCATGGAGATCCAGGGATGGTCCAAATTGGAATTCGTGGTGGAGCATCTTCCTCCACCCTGTCAGTGTCTCAGTGACCATGTGTCTGACTTCATTTGGAGTTAGTGTCCACAGCCTTCCAGCCCTTTTGTGGATGCAAGGCTGAGCCAAACCGCCTCCCTGCTGGTTCTCAGAAACCCTTCAACCTGGGCTTGAGGAAACGAAATTTTACACATGCAGTAACAGGAACTAGAGGGGGAGGTTAGTCCTGTCATAAGAAGTACTGAGATGATAATCTGAAGGGGCTGGGGGAAGGGGACACCATCACATTCCATACTTTTCTTCCTAAATTGTTTTAGCTCAGATTATTCTCTGTCCCATCCAATTGGTTAGACAGAATGTT